GCAGAAACTACAAGGCAGTCGTTTTATTATGACCAAAGATCCTATCAGAAACTGTCCAGCAGCCGCCAACATTAGCAAAAAAATAACGAACACCAGGCAAGCAGGTTGAGCTCAGGTTCACAAGCTGATTCACTTACCCGACCTTAATTTAGCCCGCCCCAACCTACTATTATTTCAGCTTCTAAATTATCGGTTAAAGCGTGTTGAGAAGACCCCGTATATGCGATTTTGTAGTCCGTTTGTTTATTGATAATTCCTGAAGGACGTATGGAATTTGATTAGATGCATTGGTTTGTTGGATGAGTTCTCGATAAAACTATGCTTTCCTGTTGGCCACTCGAATAACGTCAAAAGGTCAAGCGCACGTGATGTCGTTTTACTCTTTATATAAGGGGTGAAAAATGAGAGAACTAAGTGAAGACGCCTTGGGAATACGTAACTCAGGTGAGAACGCAAAACCAAACAAATAGTGTAAGTAAACTGCTCCAGCTGCATATTTCAAAGTATATGTACATTCTTCGGGGTAATAGTTAAAAATAAGAAGGTCAATATCAAAATTTATGCATGAAAAAGTTCCAACGTACATTTTTGACGTTGTAGCCCGCCTTGGCACTGGTCTCGATGAACATGACGTTAAGTTCCTTCGCCATTCTTTCACCCTCCTCAGTAGAAACTTTTCTGAATGGTCCCGCGAATAAATGCACAGGGTATAACGTACCGTTTGTCCGCCAAGTCAGTCTTATTGCCAACGAGCATGATGATGACATCACTACCACGCTCGGTGCGAACATCATCTATCCATTTCGTTGTCTGGGAAAAAGACTCCTTAACTAATTCAATCGAATTCAAAATGACTCAGACAAACCACAGATGTCGTATACAACGACAGCCACGGAGGAATCACGAATATAACTCGGGATAAGACTCCGGAACCGTTCCTGTCCAGCAGTATCCCATAATTGCAGACGAATCTAACAGTTCACGTCGTCTGCTTATGCCCTTACCGTTCTGTCTTCAAGATACATTGTTTTCGATAGAAAGTCTATGCCAATCGTGGCCTTAACGGCAAATAAGGGTAAAGCTTCTATGTACCTGATACACGCTGTCGAATGTTTCGTACATAAATCTGGTGATTAATGATGTCTTTCCAACTATAATGGCGTAAACGGAGGTGAAGAATTTAAAAATTTTCTAACCACTCTGTTCACCAAGAAATACAAGTTTAAATTTCCTTAGGGGATTATTGAAATCCGTCACACCAGACATTTTGACAACAACCTACACGCAAACGCTGGAAAGGGTTGCGGTGCACACCGAGATATCTGCGCGGCTATTAACAACTTTTTGTTCTAATCGGTATGCAAATCCACCAAAAAGCCTTAATTCCTGTAGGATTCCCTGGACTCTTACTATTCTAAGGCCTTCCTCTGAGCACGGGCGAGGGATTAAGATCTATTCCGCAAGGTAAGTTTTTTTCCAGATAACGCATGAGTTCGTGAGTTACAACTTAAGCAAAAGTTGCAGCATGGGAACCAGTGCTTGACAAAAAGGAGTTTACGTAAAAACCGTCAACATCAGGTCCCGAAAAAATAACTACAATGTGAAGTGCTTATTTTAAACATTACCATTAATTCATTTAGCTTGAAAAGTTTGGTGACAAAGGTGTCACCGCTGGTGGTTAGCATACCCACGATCAGTGTGAATTTACAGTGCCTAATCATACCTTGAGTCAGCAATAAGTCATGACGTTTCTTGTGCGCCAGTTCGGTCGATCTTCCCTGACTTCTCCAAGTAACTCACCCCATTCCTTAATATCGCATGGGAGCAGGATGACGTACGGCTTAAAGAGACTGTCATCGTTCAAGAGGTGCTACAATATACGTGTTCTACTCCATTCCAATCCAGTGAGAGCTGTCTTTCCCAGAAGTGCCCATTTCCGGTTCCTAACTATGTTAATTTTTCCTGCGCGATGCATTTAAAGCATTGCCGAAATAAAAAACTGTCCTTTTCTGTCCTACGTACTTACTCTAGATTTACGAAGTTTTTGGTGTACTACGGTAAAGTGGGTTGACATTGAAGAGCATATTTTCGCTTAGATTTTTAAAGCTTTTCTTGTCTTTTTTATGGCATCATAACTGATGAAGCGCATTAGTCCATTTCACAATGAACAGCAATCTGTAATAGTGGTCTATTTTGATCTCAACAAAGCCTTTAATAAATTGCGTAACGACGTCTTACAGTAAAACTAGAAGCCCTTGGCATCCGGCGCCATTGCCCCCCCCCCTTTTTTTAACCGCAGTCAAGGGGATTAGGTAAGTAACAGATTCTCGATCTTTCGCCCGAATTTGAGTGGCGTACTCCAAGGCACGGCTCTTTTCCGTCATTGTTTATCCGTTGCATTGATTTTATTTCAACCGTAAATGGAAATTCCCAAACTTTCATGCATGTTACCGATCTCTAATGTGTTTTTGCATTTTCTATGGACAGTGCAAATGTGTGAGTTGAAAATTTACTCCAACCTGCTACGCTTGTCGAAAACTGACCTCGAATTTGCCGACGAGATCTTCTTCATCCAAGCGTGGATTCATGGGTTTCGGCCACGCAAAACTTCCTTGCCCACCATTTTTTCGAAATAATCCATCTCCAGAACGCTCCACTACGAAGGAGCTAGGTCTAAGATTCACGAATAAGTTAACTTATTTGCCGCATACATACCGAATTTCTACAAAAGCTACACAGATATATAGTTTCATATCACATAATATTACAACTCCTTATTTAAAGCAAAACGTTGACATTTGTTGGTGAAAATGGAGGTAAAATTGGTCTGTGACAGTTTATTAGCCCTCGCTTGGCGAGGAACATCCCCTGGTCCTGTCCCACGCCTACATTTTCCGTCCACGATCGACAGTTTTCCTCCATTACAGTCTACAAGTCACATCTTATTTACATTCTTTCTTACAAATGCTCATGGAAGTTTTCACTTTGTTTGTTTACCTTCCTCACTCCAGGCCTCCTAATAATATTTGATGTTGTAACGTTCCAAGAACCGTATAGTGTTTTTTGGATGAAACAGGCACTTTGATTGTGAACCTGGGATGGAAATGGTGTAACTGGGTGTCAGCGAAAGTAGCTAGTGTTCTTCCCGCAACTCATCTCAACGCTCTCTCTCTCTCTACGTCGGCACCTACCACAGCCATTCTCTTCAGGTGCCCACAGCGCTGCCTTCTCGACCGGTTTTTTGCGCGTATGTCAGTGTTACCCCTCCATCCAAACAGGTCAACTCTCGCTGCAACTCCTTCCCTTTATAAACTTAACCATTGCCGTGTGTTCCCTGTTTCCGTTTGTTCTCCTCACACCTTTATGTCCATCTTATTCTTCTTCTTCTACTTTTCCACATGAATGAGTATGGCGATGTTTAAGCGACTCTATTCAGACTAATCTTATCTAGAATCTACCTTCACTGCTTTGTTGACTCGATGAGCGCCATCTTCAACGTCATCAGCCGCTACAACGTCGCAACTAAGCGAGCGCCCGGTCCACCAGTCGTCCCAATTGTGGACATAAACTGGCAAGTGCACACGTTTGCTCATGCGCTTCAATATTCATTTATGAAGTTTTTCATATTTGCGCCCAAACAAACGGCTTGTGAATTATCAATATTTTACAATATTTTACGACACGGTTTACGTTTAGCTGCCTGGGTGCTGGCAGACTTTCTGGAGTGAGTATTTTAACCCTCATGAAAACCGCCTAGAAATCATGCACTTTTTACGCCAAACTATAAGTAAGCTAATGGTAACTTCCTACAGAGATCCAATACTGTGCACGGCGTGGACTTTAACCTGCTGTGTTGATTTCGTCCAAACTTTCATTAAGATCGGATAATGCGGACATCCTTCCAGTTACTTCTTCAAGAGTGGCCCCCGCTGTAACAGTCGGAGATCTGACCAGGGACCCGACCTTGAGTGTTTGAATAAACTGGACTTCTTTCGTTTTGTTTTGCGGAATCTACGCTGCGAAAACCGCGTGCTGACAATTAACTGTCAACACCGATAAGTCATTCTGTCATATTCTTTCGTTTTTACGTTATCTCATTATTATATTCCCGTTTCGCATATTACAATAAACTTATATCTTTTTGCCATTTTCGTTATCTATATCATGTCTCGCACGCCTGTGCCCCCTTCTACCACACACTCTGAAGTACAAAGTATTTTAGACCGACTTTTCCAATCGTCTGGACCGTCGGAATTCAAACTCCCCTTTTCCCCTTCCTTCTACGCCCGTGACCCGACGTCTACTACCCGCTCGGTCGCTACACCGCGCAAGAACACTTTCTTCCAACAACGCATTTAGAACGAGGATTACTGTGACCGCGACGTACGTAGTGCTGCCTTCAATTAGGACTTTTAAAACTTCCCCTGACTAAACCACTATTGCAAATCAAAGGAACATAGGCAAAAAACACATCTAATTACGAAATATAGGTAGAAACCTGCATATGAGTCAAAAATAGTCAAAGGGGTACTGGAAAATCCAAAAAATTCTCCATTTACGCGAACGGTCCAAGACGCAAACAGTATTGCGTTCCTTGCCTAGAGGATTATCAGGCAAGTTTTTTAACAGATAACATGGATAATACGAGGCTCTTCTTTCATTTCTTCAAGCAAGTATTTTGCGAAGGCTTTTCATCGTGTTTATCATGCTCTTTTTCTCCCAAAAGTCCCCTCTTTCAGAATAGGTGGCAAACACCTATATTTTATGTCCTATTACCTAGACGTCCGCACACAACGGGTTGAGATTCCCAACGCTACCTCCAACCCCACATGTGTGACGAGTGGAGTCATTCAGGGTAGTGTACTTGTTTCACTATTATTTTTTACTTTATGAGAGATGTATCAGATTTATTTCAGAATGGTAAGCCCTTCACATATGCCGATGATCTAAAGTTGCATACAGATATAAGCCGCCAGACCGTGGCATCGTGCTCGAGCTCCTAAAGAGCGACCTACAGCTCTTTGCCCAGCTGTGCTGTACATGGCGCCTTTCGCTTTCTTGGCATAAGTGCTCAGTCACGGTGGTTGACGACGACAGCCAACCTCAACTAAGCATTGACGATCACGCCTTAAACGTGCCTGGGATTATTACGGACCTGGGTGTATCATACTCCAAGAGTCGTAACCTTTCGAAGCGCTGCATCCTGATAGCCTCCAAAGCACGAAGAATGACCGGGTTTATCCTCCGAAACTTTAAAACTAGCGACATTAGAATGCGCCTTTACAACGTGTACGTTAGACCTGGTCTGGAATATTGTTCGTTCTTATTTAGCCTCACGCGTGCTGCTGAGCTGAGGAAAAGAGAACCCGTCCAACATTTTTTACCAAGAAAGTTTTAACTCCGGAGCACTGGAATTTGTCTTACCAAGAACGTCGCCGGCTTACAGACCTTAATCCATTGTGGTTTCGTAGATTACA